TGAAGATGGTAATACACAATCCCTTCTCCTCCACCTCTCTTTCCTGTTCAGAGTTTGGGCACATGCTCAAGTGCCTAGCATGATTCTCAAGATGCTGGGTCCAGGACTCAAACTGTGCAGTTGACCATATGGGATCTTGTCACCTTAATTACCATGCCATGGGCTGGACCTCTGTAGTCTTGTTTTCTTATGATATCTTGAGTTTGGTGTCAGGGTTATACTGGCCTCATAAAATTAGCTGGAAATTGCTCTTTACTTTCCTATTTTTTAAAATGTAATTTGTGGGACCAGCAGGTGGCATAGTGAGGGTTAAGGTGTTGAACTGCTGCATGACTGACTGCAGTTTGACTCCCTTACCTAGAGGCTTGAAACTCACACCAGGCACATGCATGCATGCCCAAAATTCTAAGAGGAGTTTGGAGGAGAAGGGATTGTGATGTGACCATCCCCTAGGAGGGTGATTTTTCCCTTTCTCTTTCTCTCTCTGTCTCTCCAGCAGGCACATGAGCCCTACAGCAAAAATATCTCTTAAAATATATATATATATAGATATATGATCCAGCAGATGGCATGGTGGTTAAAGTGCTGGACTCCAACATGACTGACCACAGTTTGAGCCCCAGACCTGGTGGCTTGCTTTCTTACTTTCTCTCTCTCTCTCGTCAAATTTTTAGAAAATAATAAATAAATATGGGACCAGTAGATGGTATAATGACTATGTTGCTGGATTCTCATGTAGTCAACGATGGTTCAAGTTTCGCACCCAACTGCTTAAAACTCACACTGGGCACATGTGTGTGCACACCCAAAATCCCAAGAGGAGAATGGAGAAGGGATTGCAGCATGGTCATATCCCCTGGTGAGGGTGGAGGTGATTTCTTGCTTTCTGTCTCTCTGTCTCTCCAGTGAGTGTAAACACCCAATAGCAAAAATCTGTCTCAAAATAAGTAAATAAATAAAATAAAATAAAAAATGATTTTTTAATATAATGTGCATGGAATTTTATCACCCCATCCATTTCATTTTGTTAAAATGTAGATTTTGATTCAGAAAGTCTGGGATGGGACCTGTCTGTGTGTCTTTCTTTCTTTTTCTTTTTCTTTTTTTTTTTTTAAGAATTATCTATTTATTTAATTCCATTTGTTGTTATTATTTTTTTATTTGACCAGAGAGAGACAGACAGAGAGAGAGAGAGAGAAAGGGAAAGCAAGAAAGTAAGCCACCAGGTCCAGGTCTCAAACCAGAGTCAGCCATGTGGGATTCCAGCATCCCCAACAACCACACCACCTTCTGGCTCCACTGACTATCTGCATTTCTTATGCACTCTCATCTGAGGCTGGTCCTAGAAGTACACTGAGTAGCAAGATTTAAAGGATGATAATTTTCGAGATATTAGTATTGAATTTCCTAACTCCATTGTCTTATGATCTATTTTAGTTTATTATTTTTAATAAATTATTACTGGAAGTAAGAATGCACATTGTTATTGTGCTTTACAATTTAAAAAAATTTTTATTTATTCATTCATTTAATTTGACCAGAGAGAGAGAAGGAAAGTGAGAAAGCAAGCCATCAGGTCAAGGACTTGAACTGTGGTCAGCCATGTGGGAGTGTCCAGCACTTTAATCACCATGCCACATGCTGGTCCCCTTGTGCTTTACAATTTTAGTGACCTCTTTTATACTTATCCCAATCTTTTCTCACAACAGTAAAACCAAGAAAGGAAGGCATACCTTTGTCTTACCACTTTTGAAGGAGTGAGAGAGCCGGGCTTGAGATGTTGAGAACAGCTCAAAGTGGCTCACATTTTCAATGATATCAGGTCTTTGCAAAGCTGAGTTTTAGTGTCTGCTGTGATGAAAGTCAAATACCATGTAAAGATCACCAGGGTACATGATGTGAAGGTGGCAGCATCCTATCAGATTCAGGTTGGAGAAGTGCAGTGCCCAAGAGACACATCAATATTTAAAAATTTTAAGTATTTTAAGCATTTTTCCTAAAAAATGCTTACGAGGGCCTCCCGAAGAAGAAACCTTCATGGCTCCTGAGAACTAATGATTTCAGGGAAAAAAGAGAAATGAAGATTTTTTTCTACCAATAATTCAGCCTCCAGCTCACAAACTCGAGTGGTAGGAAGCCCCTCAAGCCTTCTCTCTGTCACTGACTCTGTCTCTGTCTTCTCATTTTTTTTGTAAGTTTTCCTTTATAAAAAAAAATTTTTTTTGGAGAAATGTGTGCTACAGGGCATGTGCACTCACCAGACAGACCGAGAGAGACAGAGAGACAGAAAGCTAGAAATCACCCCCCAGGGGTGAAAGTAGATTATTTAAGAAATTGTGTGATCAATATAATATGGGGGGAAGGGAACGGAAGACAACTGTAGACACCAGAGATAGTGTGAGAAGAGGGTGGGAAAGGGCAGAGGGTCAGACATAAGGGTAAATATATTAAAAAAATATATATGTATGTGTATATATATTTATGAAACTAGAAATGGAAAATTATTGATTAAGCCACTATGCAGTATAGTCTGGATGGGAAATCATATTTTGTATGCTGTGATGATGCTTAGGGAATGAATGTAAATTAATGAATTTTTTTTTTGGAGAGGTTTTTCACGATAGGGCGCGTGCGCTCGCCAGACAGACAGAGAAAGACATAGAGACAGACAGTGAGAAATCACCCCCCACCAGGGGGGATGGTCACGCCGCAATCCCTTCTCCTCCATTCTCCTCTCGGGATCTTGGGCACACACGTACACACGCCCGGTGTGAGTTTTAAGCCACCGGGTCCGGGACATGAACCGCGGTCAACTACGTGGGAGTCCAGTGACATAGCAATTATACTAACTGCTGGTTCCCAAATTAATTAATTTTTTAAAAAATGTTTCAGAAAAAGAAACCATGAAAACTTTTTCTTGAAATAAAAAAGAAATGCATTAAAAATGCCTATTTGATGACTGCAGTAAGCTATACAACCCCAGCTACGTGCCACTTTATAATATGTTCATTCTACTCACTGAGGTTTATGCCTAAAGTCAGACTTCTGTTCATGGATATGTATATATCAGCTGCACTTGCTATTGAAAATATTTAGATTAATTAAGATCTTTAGTGAATCAATAAAAAATGTGGGAGGGAAAAGACATAGAAAGCAACCATGGATACCAGAGACAGTGTGATAGGAGGACGGGAGATGGCAGAGGGTGAGAGGTAGGGAATCAAGGATGGGAAAAAAAGCAAAATATACAGGAAACAAGTAATGGAAAATTGTTCGTTGACAATAACATGTATGTTGATGTGCTTGATCAAGCCAATATACAGTGTATTCTGGATGGAAAATCTCATTTTGTATGCTATAATGATGTGTAGCAAATCAATGTAAGTAAATAAATTTTAAAAATGCTTACAAGAAGGGACCAGGAGATGGCAAGAAGGTTAAGGCTGCTGGATCCTACGTGACCAGCTACACGGTTCAAGCCCTGGACCCAGTGGCTTAAAAAACATGTTGGGCACATGTGTGTGCATACCTAAAACGCTGAGAGGAGAATGGAGGAGTAGGAATTACAGCATAATGATTTCTCACTTTCTCCTCTCTCTCCAGTGAGTACATGCACTCTATAGCAAAAGAAAATTAATTTTTCTCCAATTTTTGTGTATTATTTTGAAATAGCTACTAAATATTTGTATTTGCTTGAACCTGGTAGTAAAAATTTAAATGTTCATACTGGCCTACTAGGGTGCCATGAAAAAATTACTGAGATGCTTAGGGCATTATGAGCTGAGAAAGTTTAGAGACTTCTGCTATAGATCATTAATCCTATATATATGTATACATATTATATATACACATATTATACATGTGTATAGTGTATATGCATATTAGTGTAAGTATAGTGTATATACATGTACATATATACATATATGTATCTATATAAAGTATATAATGTGTATATAAGTATTGGGTCATTGGGAAACTCATGACGTATTTTTCTGTGTTTTCCTATGCAAAAATGTGTCACAACTTTTCTGATACCCAGTATATATATATATACATATATATATATATATATATAACATACATACACATATATATGTGTGTATATATATGTGTGTGCACACACACACCTATTATATATATAAAATGTCTTTAGCAGTCAGGTATTTACTTTAGAGCTGATCATTTTCTGTTGGCTTACACTACTCTCAGTTATGGAGTAGTTTGGGTAATTAAGTGTGTCTGAGACATATGTGTTTTCTCTGTGGTTTTTGAAGGACCTGGAGCATTGTTGGTGTTGTCCATGGGAGATGTTGTCCATGGTGTTTACGAATTATCTGGATGGGAAAAGCTTAAGAATTTGCTGGAAGCCATGGGGGGTGGGGGGGACCCGGCAGCTAAGCCCAGGAGCACATGCAGCCTGACCGTTCTCTCCACTCTGCCATGCCTTTCGGGAGAAGTATTAGGGAAATGTGATCCTCTAAATCCTTGCGCACCTTGATTTATGGTTTGTTTTGAGACACGGAGAAGATGAAAAAATTGTCAGGAGAATTTAAGAAAATTAACTTACCAGGGTTTTTACCTACAAAACGTTGGATAACAACTAGCTTTTCCAAATGCTTGGTAATGTCCTGAAATTTAAATCAATAAGATAAAAATCTTCTTTATATCAATTTTTTTCAACTGATAACCTTCTCTTACTTACAAATTTTGATAGTTTTTTTCTGAGAACATGAGCAAGACTTTTGAGCATTGATTTAACATAACATGTGAATTAAATAAGTGACAGCTACTAATTTTAAAAGTCCTTGGGCCAACCAGGTGGTGTGGAGGTTGAGGTGACTGGATCCCTCATGGCCAACTGCATGGTTTAAGTCCTGGACCCGGCGGGTTGGAAACCACACCCAGAGTGCCTCCTGGTGGTGCAAGGTACAGGGGAAGTTACGGCGATCGTGGTGGTGGCACAACAGCAACACCCGTGGTAGTGTCAGGCTGTTGGAGAAATGAGAGACCCGGGCTCAGTGATAACAGAATCTGTCCCTCCACCTGGGCTGAGACACATGCGGCAACAGCGGATGAAAATGAAGAAGACATTCAGTTTGTTAGTGAAGGACCTCCAAGATCTGCTCTTGAATACACTGATCTGGTTTGTGGTGATGAAGAAGAGCCTAGCACCTATCATGGTGATGTTATATTCCCTGAAATGCAGAATGACAAAGTGGTTCATTGTGTATTTAACTATGAAGAAAACAAAAACAGACACAGAGAGGAACAAGAGGAACAAAAATCATTGTGGATTGTCTAAGTCGAAGGAACCATATGCTGAACAACCGATTATTGAAGAAAAGCCATCTCGTTCATCAAAGAAAGAAATAATCTGGTGCTTCCAGATTTTTGGAATGAAAAACAAGCATTTATGTTCAGAGAACAGTATAAATGGCTTGAAATTTTAAAAGGTGGGACCAGAAGTTAGCGTAATGGCTTTGTCACTGAATGCCCATGTAGTCGACCATGGTTTGAGTCCCAGACCCAGTGGCTAAAACTATAAAAATTTTTAATATTGTTTACAGTTTATTAAAACAATAGACCTTTATCTGATATTGAAGGAGCAGTAGAATTACAGGAGAGAAATGGAGAGATCAATTGTTTAAATACACGCTACAGTGCAACGAGGATAGCAGAACACATTGCAAAAGAAATGAGAATGGGTGGACCAGCAGTTGGCGTAATGGCTATGTAGCTTGGCTCCCATATAGTTGACCGCGATTCGAGTCCCGGACCCGGTAGCTTAAACTCACGCCAGGTGCGTGTACATGCGTGCCCAAGATCTTGAGAAGAGAATGGAGGAGAAGGGATTGTGGCGTGGTCATCTCCTCGTAGAGTGATTTCTTGCTTTCTGTCTCTCTGTCTCTCTCTGTCTTTCTGGCGAGTGTGTGCCTATAGCAAAAACCTCTCAAAAAAAAAAAAAAAAAGAAAGAAAGAAAGAAAGAAAGAAATGAGGATGGAGACATTTAAGAGCACTGTTAAAGAGAATGCCATAATCTGCATCATACTTGACGAAGTATCTACAATTTCGAAGAAAAGTACCCTAGTGATGTATCTCCAGTGCACGATTCAATCAGCTCCTGCACCTGTTGCCTTAGTTGTTGCTTTAAAAGAATTGGTGCTGAAACCAGCAGATGGCGTAATGGTTACGTCGCTGGACTCCCACGTAGTCTCGACTGTGTTGGAGTCCCAGACCTGGCAGCTTTAAACTCATGCCAGGTGTCTGTGTGTGCATGCCCAAAATCCTGAGAGGAGAATGGAGGAGAAGGGATTACAGCATGGTCATTCCCCTTGGGGAGTGATTTCTCTCTTTCTATTTCTCTGTCTCTCTCTATCTCTCTGGCAAGCACATGCGCCCTATAGCAAAAATCTCTGAAGAAAAAAAAAAAAGAATTGGTGTCAGCCACAGCAGAGTGTATTTTCTACGTATTATTGACTACTTTAAATAATTGTGACTTTACAAATGAATATCTGAAAACAAATTAAGTTCTGATGGTACTCATACAATGCTGGGGAGAAAGTCTGGAATAGTAGTAAAGTTTTTAGAAAGCTTTCCTGAAATCATCATCTGGAACTGTTTAAACCATCGATTGCAATTGTTATTTGGTGATTCAATATCTGAAATAAAACAAGTTAATCATTTAAAAAAAGAAAAAGAAAAAAAGAAAACCACACCCTGCGTGAGTATGTGTGTGAGTGAGTACATGTGTGTGCATGCCCAAAGGCATGAGAGAATGGAGGAGAAGGGATGGTATGGTCATCCTTGCTGGGGGAGATGATTTCTCACATTCTCTCTTTATCTGTCTCCAGCTAGTGTACATGCCCTATAGAAAAACTTTAAAAAAAAAGCCATTTAACATAAAAATGTAGCTTACTGGTTTCACAGTGTATTGGCGCCACAATGGGCCCTTTCTGAGCAAACAGGCTGGCAGGCAGCTCCCCTATAGCTGTTCCAGGGAAGATGATATGAGTACAGATTTTGGGTCCCTGCCACTCTCGAACTGAATCACCACTACTGGGTGTGGAGTCCAGGTTTAAATCATTTAAAAAGTTCCCAGGTATTTTAATGTGCAACCAGGTTGAAAACCACAGGCGTAAAGTTCTGTAGTATTTAATATTAATATGTTGTGTTTCTCACCCTTCTAAATTTTCTTTAAGAATTATTTTATTTTATTTATTATTGTTATTTTAACATTTACTATAGGGGATGTGCATTCACCAGGGAGAAAGACAGACACACAGTGAGAGAGAGAAAATGAAAAAGCAAGCCACCAATTTCAGGATTCAAATCACAGTTGACCGTGTTGGAATCCAGCACCTTATTTACGATGCCACCTGCTGCCCTTACATTTTCTTTCCAATTCACAGAAGTTCTTAGTAACGTTTCTAAGCCTCTATTAAAAAACAAAAACAAGAATAATCTCAAATCCCGGACTGATTCCGTGGCATGGTGGTAATGTATTGCTCATGAGAAGCCGGATGTCATGTGGTGCCCGCGGTTTGAGTCCCCAGCCTGGTCAGCCTGAAATACCCCAGGCACATATGCAGGTACCCAGGGTCCAGTGGGCTGGAGCACCGGTCATGGTGGGACCAGGCCCCATGGAGAGCGATTCTTTCTCTGTCTCTCTTGTCTCACAAAAAGAAAAAAATCCTATGTTTGGATCCATTGGTTAATCCACACTTGAGACAACACGTTGAAGGTTAATCCTACCCAAAGGGAAGAAACACAAAGAATTTCTTTCTAGAATCCCAACTCTTATCTCACGTGAGAACAGAGTGAGAAAGAGCTTTTGCATTTTCCGAGCTCCACGCCTCTTCTGAATCAGCAACTTGGCAGTGGTGGCAGTGTCACCGTCCCCTTCGGAGTTTACAAATTGTGGCCAACTCCTCGGGAGCTGTTCTTTTGTCTTAGACCTCCTTGTCACTCCCTACAGACTTCCGTATTATGTTTGGTGAGAGGATGAGGGTAAGGAAGACCCCAGACCTCATTTATCTAAGCTGATGCCTTTGGGAAGTGCTCACCCCACCTAATTCACTAACATATTCATCACACATTTGCTGCCTTTTGATTAAACTGGGGCCAAGCTGACAGTAAAACAGTTCCCAAGACTCTCCTCTCCATTCCCACATTCTTGGTCCTAGTTGAAGTCCCCATCATCTCTCTCTCTCTGTTTTTGTTTTTTTGTTTTGTTTTAATTTTTTCCAAAGGGTGTGTGTGCTGGCCAGAGTGAGTCAGAGAGAGGGTTAGGGAGAAAATACTCCCCAGTGGGACCTGGACACTGCAATCCCTTCTCCATTTCTCCACTCTATTGGGATTTGGGGCACTCATGCACACATGCACGGTGTGTCTTTCAAGCTGCCAGGCCTGAGACTCTGAGCCACATGGTTGGCCACGTGGGGTCTGGTTCCTTTAACCACCAGGCTGGACCTGCTATCCTCTAACGAGGTGCCTGCAGAAGCTCCCTGGTCAGACTGGCTCCTCTGGTTGCATCCCATTCAAACTCAGCCCATACCCTGGCCAAAGTCATGCACTTGTATTTTTTTTCTTTATTCATGAAAAAGTATATGAACATGCATGAGAAAGAGGGATCCAGCTTCTGCAGGGTCTGATCACACTCCAGGCCCTTCCTCTAGGGCCTCGGGTCTGCCAGATCCTGGGCGCACATGCCCGGTTGTCTCAGGCTGGCTGGGCCAGGGAGTCAGAGCGCGATTGCCATGTGGTATCTGGCTTCTGCTGAGCAGCCCTTTTCCACTGCGCCATGGGGCTGGCCAGCGTCATCTCCTTACAACTCAGAGCTGGCCTGTGCTAACCCCTGATCCATACCCTCCAGGGGCTCCCCCGACTAGGACCCATGATGTCCAGTGAATGGAACCAGAACTCTCAGGAGCTGGTCCTGCCCAAGTCCTTCAGCCGCCCTGCTGCTCCAGCCTCTCTGGATCCTGTAACGATGGTGGTTGGTGTCTCCCCACACACTTTCTGGGCATTGTTTGTCCTGTTCATCCTGCTGTGAGGTGGCAGTCCCCTCCTAGGGTCAAGGGAATGCCCAGACATGTGACACCTGACGCTGGACAGATGGGACTCACAGCCATGGGGAGGACCCATGCAGGGCCACACCGGCGCCTGAGCAGACAGCCCTGGCTATGGACAGGTTTTGAGGATAGGGTGGCTCTTGTTCACATGGGACAATGTGATAGATTTGTTGAAATAATTCCTGGGGCTGACAGGGACCCGATACCCACTTCTCAGAGATAAACAGGAACTGCCCCTTGAGAAAGGGAGTAGTTTGGCTGGAGGACCTTGTCTGAGGGAGCACAGTGGGCGGGGGACTGTGGTCAGGGCACTCCAGGCTCTCCCGGCTTCACCAGATGTCAAAGCAGGCTCCATACTGAACTCTAGTCCCAGGCCTTAGTCACAGACACGCAAGTGGGACAGCGTGTGCGCGTCCATCTCCCTGCTCCCTTGTACTCTCTAGCTAACTCCCGGTCGCCAGTTATTTTCCACCCTGGCATCCTTTCTAGGAGATCTCTTGCCCTGGCCTCTCCCTTCCAACTATCCTATGGACTGAACCCCCTTGCCCAGAAGCCAGCAAATTACAGTTGTTTTCCTGGCTTCTCTACAATGTAAACTCCTAGAGGAGAGGGACCCCACACAATTTATTTATTTATTTATTTATTTTTTAAAATTTTTTAGAGGTTTTTGCTATAGGGCACGTGCATTCACCAGACAGAGAGAGACAGAGAGATAGAAAGCGAGAAATCACCCCCCAGGGGGGATGGCCACACCACAATCCCTTCTCCTCCATTCTCCTGGGATTTTGGGCATGCGTGCACACATGCCCACAGAGTCTCTCAGCTGCTGGGTCTAGGACTCAGGCCATTGACCATGTGGGACTCCAGAGTGCTTAACCACCACCACACTACCTGCTGGCCCTATTTCACTGTAATTTTTTAAAAACACAGGGAAGGGAGATAAGGGAGCCATGGAATTGTTTCTAGAAACTCATAACAATAAGTACTAGCAGTTGTTTTGCATTTATTATATGCCAAGAACTATGCTAAATGCTTTTTGATGGCGTGGAGTTTGTGACAGCTTCATCCCACATGGCTGGCTGCATGGTTTGAGCTCCAGACCCGGCAGCTTGAAATTGCACCAGGCATATATGTGCATGTCCCCAAAATCCTGGGAGGAAAATGGAGGAGAAAGGATTATGGGGTGGCCATCCCTGCTTGATGTGGGGGGATTCTGTTTTTCTCTTTCTCTCTGGCAAGTGAATGCACCCTATAGCAACCTAAAAAGATAAATAAATAAAGAAAATGTAATTGAAAATTTACATATTTTAAAGGTTTTTGCTATGGGGCTTGTGCGCTTGCCAGAGAGAGACAGTGAGAGACAGAGAGAGAAGGAAAGAAAGAAATCACTCCCCAGGGGAATGGGCCATGCCACAACCCCTTCTCCTCCATTCTCTTCTTTGGGTTTTGGGCACGCATGCACATGCACCTGGCGAGACGTTCAAGCTGCCAGGTACTGGAATTGAACCATGGTCAGTTATATGGAAATCCAGTGCCTTAACCACCACCCCACCTGCTGGCCCCAAATTTGAATTTACATCTATTATGTCTTATACGGTAAAGAAAAAGAAAAAAAAAAAAAAGCAAGTCAGTTGGAATTTCTCAGGCGTAACAGGCAACAAAACTTTAAACTCTGTGTTTTAGTCTATTCTCTGCTTAATGACTGAATGCCACAGAGTGGGTAATTTATTTATTCTTCTCATTACCAAAGGGCACAGAGAGAAAGAGAGAGAGAGAGAGAGCACCCCCCAGAGGAGTATGATCACACCACAATCCCCTTTCTTCTATTTCTCCCTCTCATCAGGGTTTCAAACACTCATGCACACACATGCTTGGCATGATTTTCAAGCTGCTAGGGTTGGGATTTGAACTGTGGTTGACCATGTGGGATTCAGCTCTACACTGTTGCACTACAGGGCCAGCCCAGACTGGGGAATTCATAAAGAAGTTTATTCAGCTCCTGGTTTTGGAGATACAAAGTCAAGGGGCCACAGCTGGTTGGAGAAGACTCTACAGAGTCCTAACATGGTGAAGAGTATCACATAGAGGAAAGGATGGTATGTCCCTGTGTCCCTGTGTCTCTGCTCTGGTCTTACTCTCTCTCCTTATAAATCCACTCATAGGGGCCAGCATGTGGCATGATAGTTAAAATGCTCGGTTCCCACATGGCCAACCATGATTCAAGTCTCAGACCTGGCAGCTTGTTCTCACTTTCCCTCTCTTTCTCTCTCTCTGTCTTGTGAGCACATGTGCCCTACAGCAAATTTAAAAACAATAATAAATAAAATTAAATAAATAATTTCTTTAAAAAAATAAACCCACTAATATTCAAACATGGCGGCCCCATGCCCAATGATTAATGTCATCCTAATCTCCTCCCAAGGGTTCCACCTCTTAATTTCATAGTGACAGTAAGTTTCCACCTCTCAATCCTGTCACAACCAAATGTCAGCGGATGAATTTTTGGGTGGCACATTCAAACCATAGCACTGTCCAAGAAAACTGTGGAGGAAATTATATTATTTAAAAATTGTTTATCCAACACATCTTCTCCCTACTGCTTTCTTCACAA